CAAAGGTAAGGGCTCGCTTTCTGCAGTAATGTCAATGGCAGATCAGATTCCGTCCCATCTCAGCATTAAAAACCTCGGTGCCTTACCCGAGGCATCGTTTTCTTCTGGAAAATGGCTGCGGCCCCAACTCCCACTATGTCCCTCAAATTAGTGCTGAAGGACGATACAGATCAGACCGACGGCGAAGGCCATGTGCAGCGGTCGGCCGTACACTTCATACTTGAATCCTTGAAAAATATTTATATAAAGCAGAGAAGATTGAAGAGAAAAACATAAACAACAAAAAAAATGAGAAGAGAAGCATATCATAGGCGGCTTAAGTATCATCAATCTGCCAGAAATCTCGTTCTCCTCCTGGTAATAATAACAATAATAAGCACAAATACGGTGGTAGCTGAAGGTGTGAGCGCCGCCGCTAACCTCCGCATCGTTAGCAACGCTTCTTCTCTCGTCGCCGATTACATGGAAGTGGACGGCGGCGATTGGGAAATTGGCGGAATGCTTGTTTATAATAACGACCCGAAGAGCCACCATATTGTCTATCCAGTAACAGGGAATCGTGGAGCATTATGTCATGCCAAAAAATATCAGAGTTGCCTTCCGTCGCCTAATAACAAGGGCCCGAGAAGATGCAGAAGTTATTATGATCGAGTGTGTAAGTGATAACTGCAAGAAGATTTGAAGGGGATTGCATGAATTAATTTACTTTCCAGAATCCTAAGGTTTTTGTTTTTCCTTTTTTGATTGAATTTAATTAGAATCATATGTAGTTTGATCTTGTTTTTCCTATTAATCTATTGTATCTGGTTGATCTGATAATCTTATAGTAATGAATAATGTTTCAATCTATCCTTCCTAAGACCTCAACCTGCAACTCCAATCGAGTACTGATAATCCCATTATTCGTGAGACGATCAAGTTAAGATATTTTCATATTGATAAGGACAGTGATAAATTAGGAATTCGTGACCTCAACTTGCCACGTACTCCAGTTGAGTTGGTGAATAATTACTTGTTATTTGATTAGCCACTTTTGTAGTTGTGCATATTTGCCTGCATCCGTGGGTGAGTGTCAACCTCGTACTAAAACCTCGTCACATAAATCTCGTTAACATACCTAATTGTACAGTTCCACTAAAAGTAGCTTTTCTCTTTTCTCTTTTCTCCTTGTGACTTTCTTCAATTCCTTTACCTTTACACTCTCCCCATCTTCACCTTTAAATTGCAATACCGCCTTGAACTTTTCTCACAGAAAGAGAAATTAAAATAAGTGAATTGATGAATATGGCACGTTACTGCAACATTGGCGCAGCCGCCACTCTCCTGCTACTGCTCCTGACCACTACGGCGGCGGCGGAGGACCTCGGCGGAAAATGCAGCGGCGGTGGTGCCGAATGCGCCGCCGCAATCGGCGGCGGCGGCGGCAATGAAGAGATGTGGATGATGCAATCGGAGGCCAGTAGGGGGTTTATCAATCCAGTGGTTTTGAAATATCATTCGATTTGTTACAGCGCCCTGAGGATGGGACCCATATGCTTTGCAGCGAGAATCGGCAGCTGCTTCACGGAGAGAAAGAACTTGAAAAGAAATTGTGGCTTTTTCAACCGGTCGTGTCTTCGGGATTGAAACTTGAAAGAATAACATATATGTATTGTATATGTACGTACTAGGAATGCAATGGAATATTTGAATCTTTAATTTGTTGTGTAAGGATGACTTATATGTATCATCATGAACTCTATATATGTACTATGTTTCGACCAGTGAATAATGTAACAACAAGTTTTATTTAGTATCTAATTAATATTACTGTTCAATGTTTTATTGGAATATTGATTTGAGTATAGTTTGAATAACAGTTTAACAACTTTCTGAGGTTGCATTTGCAAGATAGATTCAATAACCCAATCCACATCACTAAATATAATGCAGATCAGCATTTTGTTCCTTAATTGATGACTTCAACCTGCACAAACTTTTTCATAAAAATTTGGAAATAAATCTTTGAAAAGGCATATATAGTAACTGCATACGAGGTTTTAAGTTCGATGACTCCTTTATGGATCTTAAGTTATTCTTATCTTTGTAAATATCTTTCACTTCTTAAAATGGGTCCCACTTTCATATCATCAAATTTGCAAATTTTTCACTATTTATTTTACATTCTTGCAAATTTATCTCACATTCAAAAATGGATCCCACATTCATATTATATTATAAATATAATAATAAAATAATATTAAAAGAAATAATAAAAATAAAAAAATCAAAAGGTGTGTGTTGGCAGCCCTTTTCAGCAGGTTTAGCAGCTTTATGCATTTACCATCTCATTTGCAAATTCTCTCTCTTATTGCTAATTTTGCAAACTCTCTCTCCTCTTGTATTACACTTGGCATTAAATAATAATAATTTAAACAAATTCTCTTACTTGCCATGTAAACTTGCCAATTCCAAATTTGTATGGATAGATTTAACCTTATTGGTTTGGATCAGTCAAATATGAATAATTGACTAATTTAGGCTAAGTTGATTTATCACTTGACAATTCTTTACCAATTAAAGTTAAAGGCAAATTTAATTGACTAATTTAGGCTAAGTTGATTTATCACTTGACAATTCTTTACCAATTAAAGTTAAAGGCAAATTTTACTCGTAATGCATCTTCAAGCAAACTGTGAATTTTTCGGTAAATGAAAAGAAATGTTTTTCCGGGAGCCGTCCAAATGTGGAATTCATGCATGGCCTGATTAGACTACTATTTTGTGATAAAAATGTGAAGTCATTTGAGTAATTGATGCGTTGGAAATTACGTGTCATGTGACTGCATAGAAAGTAGAAACCAATGAAAGCACCATAGATACAATTGTAATTGGTAAGAACCTTTTGAGTGAGACACCAAGAAAAATAATAAGAGAAAGAAAAAGAATACAATATTCCCTTTCAATATATATTCTTGCCTTTTGACTAGTCAAATAACAATAAAGATTTATTAAGGAAACTATTTTACTCTTTTTTTTTTTTTTTTAAACTATTAACCCTTAGAGTCAATAACGTCCAATTGTTATGTCATGGAAGAACACGGTTCCAACGGTGTTAGTACAGTGTTATCTCTTTTTTTTTTTCTTAATTAATTGCGTGACTTTTCTTCTTCATTTTCACATTTCGCGGTTTCACTTTAATTTGAGGTGAGCAATGATTTCGGACATTCATAAATTATGAATTCATGCCTGCACATTCACTTTGGAACCATGCCTACACATTCCCGTCCGAAATCACGGACATTCATAAATTATGAATCCATGCCTGCATATTCACTTTGGAACAATGCCTACACATTCACTTTGGAACCATGAGATTATGAATTTTCTGTTATAAGATTATGAATTTTCAGTTATGAGATTATGAATTTTCTGTTATGAGATTATGAATTTTCTGTTATGAGATTATGAATTCACGGTGAACACGTTTCCAGGGCATAATTTGCCCAATAACGTCCCACTGGGCTCACACCCACAACCTTCCAGGTAGGAGTTCAACTTGATGCCATTGGACCATAAGGTCGTCTTTTGTTATTATTATTATTATTATTATTATTATTATTATTATTATTATTATTATTATTATGATTATTATTATTATTATTGTTGTTGTTATTATTATTATTATTATTATTATTATTATTATTATTGTTGTTGTTGTTGTTGTTCTTAAAATGTTAAATCCCTAACCTCATGTTCTCAAAAGGTTGCAAGGGAAAAAAAGGAAAAAAAAATGAAAAACTATATATATATATATATATATATATATATATATATATATATAAAGGATCATGTGCGGTAATAGGTTGCAAGTGAGGTTTATTTTTTTCAACCATTGATCTAGCTAAAATCAATAGTCTAGACTGAAGAAAATTTTTAAAAAATGTGGTGGCATGCATTATGGTAATTTTTGTATAAGTTCAAAACTTAAGGTGCGTAGTTTTATAGCTTAAGGTGCATATGTTTAAAGGTTAAGGTGCCTAGTTTTATAACTTAAGGTGCATATGTTTAAAGGTTAAGGTGCATAGTTTTATAACTTGAGGTGCATATGTTTAAAGGTTAAGATGCGTCACTTTCTAGTCAGTTTAAAACTTAAGCAAGTTTTAAGGTTAAGGTGCGTAGTTTTATAGCTTATGGTGTGTATGTTTAAAGTTTAAGATGCGTAGTTTTATAATTTAAGGTGCTCCACTTCCTAGTCAGTTTAAAACTTAAAGTGCTTAAGTTTTAAGGTTAAGATGCGTAGTTTTATAGCTTAAGACGTGTATGTTTAAAGTTTAAGGTGCGTAATTTTATAACTTAAAATACGCAGTTTTATATTTTAAGGTACATCAATTTGAGACCGTGCATCCATGTTAGCCGAAAAGTGCGTTTTTTTTTTTTTTTTTTTTTTTAAAAATTCATTCATTTGAGGTGTTAAATTTGATCAACGACTCAAATCTCACTCCATTTTTCATTTGGTCTTTTCCACACACACACACACACACACACACACACACACACACACACACACACACACACACACACACACACACACATATATATATTAACGGGCACGTGGAGTGCACGCCCCCAACCTTACGTGCATTATGGAGATTCTCCTGCAATATTTTTTTGTTATCTCTGTCCTCTTCCTATTCCCTTCACATAAGCTTGGGGTTGTGGTTCTCGCCCAGTATCTCTCATTTAGTTGATTATTAATGCATTCAATTTGTTCCTTTAAGAAAAAGCTTTGGCTCCTCAAAAATCTCCCAAAAATTATTGATGGGATACCCTTATGACATCTTCAATAGTGGAGGTCTTGGTGTAGTTTTTGAGGAGTTTATGTAAACGTGATTAGAAAAGAGAAAAAAAAAAAAAAAAAAACAAACAATAGCTCTGCAAAAAAGAGGAGATGGCGCAATAGCTTTGCAAAAAGAGAAGATGGTAGAAAAGGTGGCACAATATAACTTGCAAGACATACAATAATTCTGCAAAATCTTCTAATTTGCAGGAAAAACAACCATAAAAAAACCAACCATTACATTTGTTAAAAATTCAACATTAAGCTTTTACTATTCCAAAATTCATGTAAAAGTTTCTATTGGGATGCCCTTAGTCTTCGGTTTAGTCCCGGCCGCCATCGTGGGAACTTAGTGCGATGACTTCAAGTCAACTGCATGACTGAGTCTAAAGTCAATTACTAGCATTAAAAATTAAAAATTAAATAAATATGTTTATCTAATCACGGTGCCTTGCGCGCGCGTCTTTTCTGGTAGCACTGAAACCTAACCATGCTATCCCTAATATTCGTCGTTCTCCACCTCATCACCACCGCGTCCAGTGGTTCGCCGCCTTACACTCCCATAAACCACATCCTTCATAACTGCGGAGCACCATCGGAGCTGGACTTCAAAGGCCGTACCTGGAAAATTGACGACAACTACCCAGAATGCCTTCCTGCAAATGAGATAGATATATCAGTAACTCGCGCAGCGTCAGCTGCAGGTAGGCCATTGTCTGTCCCCGAGGTCCCATACCACACCGTCCATATCTTCCAAAACCAGTGCACTCGCTCTTACCATGTTTCTCCAGGCCTCATGTTCATCCGCCTCCATTTTTACCCTACCAATTACACAGTTTCCGGCCTCAGTTTTCGACCGGAAGATTCTTTCTTCTCAGTTACCGCTAATGAGTATACCCTATTGGCTAACTTCAGCGCCTTTCTCTCCGCCTCTGCAGATCTTTTCATTGAAAAAGAGTATGTTGTGAACGTCAACGCCGATCGACTCAACATAACCTTCACTCCTTCTCCCAACTCTGTTGCGTTCGTCAACGGAATCGAGATCGTCTCGATTCCGACGGGCTATTACATTCGGGGAGAAGGCGCCGGCGATTTCGAAAACCAGATAAAATTGATCGGCGGGGAAAACCGTAACTATTACCTGTTCAACAATACTGCTCTGGAGACTCTGTACAGGCTGAATGTTGGGGGACAATCTCTTCCTCCGGTGCACGACACCGGCATGGACCGCACGTGGTATTCCGACGACGAATATCTCATTGGTTTGGGATATTTTACTCCTTCCTTGGATGTGAAAATCAACTACACTTCAGTGTCGCCGGCGTACTCTGCACCTGAGATAGTATATACTACCTCGAGGACAATAGCCAATTACAGCAGTGATCTCAATTGGACGTTTCCGGTGGATTCAGGGTTCTCATATCTTTTCAGGCTCTATTTTTGCGAGTTTGCGATCGAAATCGATGGCGGCAATCAACGAGTTTTCTCGGTGGACATAGCGAATAAAATGGCTGAGAGACATGTTGATGTTTTTCTAATGGCAGGCGGCTCCAAAATTCCGATCTTCAGGGACTACCTTGTGAAGGTGCCGGACATGGATGGTCGCCGGAGCAAACAAAATGTTTCAATGGCTATAAGGCCTAACATGGAATCTCGACCTGTATGGGCGAGTGCGCTCTTAAATGGATTAGAGATTTTCAAGTTGAACGATACGAAAGGGAGCATGGCGGCGCGAAACCCTGAGCGTCTACAAATTTCTGTTAACCAAGCGCCTGGGTGGAGTAAGAATCCCAAAAATAAAAGGCCATCAGCTCCAGTTGCGGCCATTGCTGGTGGCGCGGCGGGTGGGGTTGCGGTGGTGGTGATTTTGGTGTTCTTGGTTAATCTTCACCGGAAAAGAGCGGCAAGAGACTCCGCTACAAATCTCACCAGATCATTAACTTCAAACCCCGTCCTCGACTCCGGCCCGGCGCAATTAACAGAATCGTGCAGACATTTCACTCTGGATGAGCTCAAATCGGCAACCGCTGATTTTGACGAGAGCTATGTTATTGGCAAAGGCGGATTCGGAAAAGTCTATCGAGCTTCCATTAACGAATCAGATTGCAGCATTGAAGATGGAGATGGAGCAAACGGTATTGTTGCAGTGAAGCGATTGAACAAGGCGGAGTCGAGGCAAGGAGAGAACGAGTTCTGGATGGAGATCAAGATGCTTTCTCGTCTCCGAAACCAAAATCTCGTCTCCCTAATCGGCTACTGCAACGAAGAACAAGAGATGTTACTGGTTTACGAGTTCATGGCCAGAGGAACACTCGCGGACCATCTCTACAAGGTTATTGACGATGATAATCCCGGCGGTCTCTCTTGGGAACAACGGCTCAACATTTGCCTGGGCGCCGCGCGCGGATTGCAATACCTTCACGCCGGAAAAGTCATTCACCGGGACGTCAAGAGCTCAAACATCCTGCTAGACGAATCTTTGGTCGCAAAGATTTCAGATTTCGGGTTATCCAAAACCGGACCTGGAAACGATTCCTTCTCTCATATCTCCACAGACGTGAAGGGGACCTTTGGTTACTTGGATCCTGAGTACTTCCTGACCCGGCGATTAACCACGAAATCCGACGTGTTTGCGTTCGGAGTGGTGCTGTTCGAAGTGCTCTCCGGTCGGCCGGCGCTGGACATGAGACTGGTGGAGGAGCAGCACAGCCTGGCCACTTGGGCGGTGGAGTGTATCAGAAAAGGAGAAATTGATCAAATGTTGGACCGGTGTTTGGTTGGGCAAATGTCTCCGGCGTGCTCGAAGATATTCGTGGAAATCGCAGGAAGATGCTTGCTTAGAGAACCACGCAACCGGCCTGACATGGCGGATGTAGTCAAGAATCTTGAATTAGCACTGGCCTTGCAACAAAGGACGGCAAAATTAGCATTGAATGTAAGCATTATTGGCAGTGATAATCCTGGTAAGGGGTGGAGTTATCTCGTCCGATCGCACCTGTACAAACTCTTTCAAAGGGGAAAACTTGTCCTTCCAGGACAATAATTGATCCAAAGTCCTTATAATTCTTTGGCCACGGTCCAGCTGCCGGTTCAAAATGACACCATTTTGATGTTAAAAAAAAATTTATTATTCAATGCGTGTTACAATAATGAATATTCTGAAGCAAAATAACATATTTTATAAGTTAGAATAATGTACTTTATGTATTAAAATAAACATAATATGTGAGACAAGTTATTCAGTTTTATTGTAGATACACTATAGTTTCATTTTGTTATAAACACGCAAAAAATAGAGATTTTGTTAAAACACTACTGGAAATTTTAAAATTTCCGACCACCTGAAAATGATCTTAAATTAAGTTGATACCAAAAAGTCCAAAAAGTGGTCGGAAATAGAAACAAAGGTTTTTCCGAATACCAAAAGTGATCGGAACAAGACTTTCAACTTGATTTATGATCACTTTCAGGTGGTCGGAAATTTCAGAATTTCCAGTAGTGAAAGTTAATGACGATCATTTTTTTACTTAAATAAAGAGCGCCATTTTCGGACCATGATCCACACAACAACTGGATGACCTCCTAGCCCCCCAAGGGCCTTAATACCTCATCCATCACATGTTGCAAAAAATCTTGTTTCCTATTGTGAATTATAGAATCCTGAGTACATGCAGTGTCTGCAATTCAAATCAAACATTGTCTAGATAACCGGGTATCTATCAAAATTAGGGTACAATATAATCAACTAACTTAATTAAAGCAAATTGTATAGTTTGTATCAGCCTTAAAAGTTGAAGTAGTTGGGGAGCCCATGATTAAAGAAAGCTAGGAGGTAGTAGGAGAGGTGTCAAAAACCAATAATTAAGGTGACAGAGCTACATATCCGCCATATTAATGTGTAAGAATGAGGCTTACATCCATATATTATATATGGCGCATCAGCCTTAGCTTACAGGCAAGCAATATAATGATAGAAGAAATGAAAGGTAACTCACATTATTATCAGCAGCGTGGTGCAGGGACGAGTATGCTTCTATTCACAGTAGTGTTCACAATCTTTGTAATGTTGAGCGCGAATGTGGAGCCAGCGGAATCCGTGATGAGCTCCGCCGCCGCAAACCTCAACGCCACTACAGCCTCAAAATGCGGCGGCGGCGGCACAGTCGCCGGCGCCGGCCCTGCAGACGGCGAAGAGTTCCTCATGGATTCAGAAAGCAGCAGTAAGTTTCTTGCCCAAATGTCGGCACCAGGGCGCCATATTTCATACGACGCTCAACGTCGAAACTATGTTCCATGTAACAAACCACCGAGATACACCGGTTGCCTACCGGTCCCACAAAACCCCAAACGACCCTGCGACCTTCACAACCGGTCCTGTAACAGATAGAATGTGCTAGTTACTATCCCTCGGAATTTGTCCCAGCCCAGTACACACTCTTGAATAACGTATAAATACATATATGTCACAATATCTTCGTCATACTTTTAATTTCTCACTTCTCTATCCCAGTGTCTCCCACATCTTACCCAGACTTCTAAACCAAGAAAAAACCTTACACGAGTTCTTAATATTTACTCTTGATGTCCTAGACTCTGATCTTACGGGTCGGCCCGGGCACATTAGAGAGTTTGATTTATATAGAGTTTGTATAATTGTATAGTAAAACTCTAATGGAGGAAGAAATAATGGTAGTTGTGGTGCACCAGTCCAGTGTTCTGTGAATTCATATGCTCGTGACTGTCGTTCCCACTTCATCAATAATGCTAATTAAAGCATGCATGTTACTACGTACACTATTTGTCCTAGCTTGCTTCAAGTGGCCCCGGCCCCTTGGTTATTGAAATGTTGACATGCATGCACTATTGCCTTAATTTGTCACATATCATACATTGTGTATGGGTTTTTATCGTACGTGATGTAATGGTTTTATTATTATTATTATTATTATTATTATTATTATTATTATTATTATTATTTATTATTATTATTATTATTATTATTATTATTATTATTATTATTATTATTATTATTATTATTATTATTATTATTATTATTATTATTATTATTATTATTATTATTATTATTATTATTATTATTATTATTATTATTATTATTATTATTATTATTATTATTATTATTATATTATTATTATTATTATTATTATTATTATTATTATTATTATTATTATTATTATTATTATTATTATTATTATTATTATTATTATTATTATTATTATTATTATTATTATTATTATTATTATTATTATTATTATTATTATTATTTATTATTATTATTATTATTATTATTATTATTATTATTATTATTATTATTATTATTATTATTATTATTATTATTATTATTATTATTATTATTATTATTATTATTATTATTATTATTTATTATTATTATTATTATTATTATTATTATTATTATTATTATTATTATTATTATTATTATTATTATTATTATTATTATTATTATTATTATTATTATTATTATTATTATTATTATTATTATTATTATTATTATTATTATTATTATTATTATTATTATTATTATTATTATTATTATTATTATTATTATTATTATTATTATTATTATTATTATTATTATTATTATTATTATTATTATTATTATTATTTTTTTTTTTTTTTTTTTATTATTATTATTATTATTATTATTATTATTATTATTATTATTATTTATTATTATTATTATTATTATTATTATTATTATTATTATTATTATTATTATTATTATTATTATTATTATTATTATTATTATTATTATTATTATTATTATTATTATTATTATTATTATTATTATTATTATTATTTTATTATTATTATTATTATTATTATTATTATTATTATTATTATTATTATTATTATTATTATTATTATTATTATTATTATTATTATTATTATTATTATTATTATTATTATTATTATTATTATTATTATTATTATTATTATTATTATTATTATTATTATTATTATCAAAATGGTCCCTCGACTATTGCAAAATTGCTAATTTGGTCCTCAATAATTTTTCGTGCCTAATTAAGTTCTCGACTTTAAAAATGTTAATCAATTTGGTCCTCTGTTTATTTTGCCGTTAGACTTTCGTTAACTCGGGACCAAATTGGTAATTTTGGAGATCATTTCAGTAATTAACTTTCGGAAAAAATGGTGCATGTATGTGATAATCGAAAATGTTTTGATTTTTTTTGTTTTGTTTATATTGGTGCTTTAGATGTCATTATATTCAAGTCAATTGCCTTGTTTTTTGCTTATATATATATATATATATATATATATATATATATATATATATATATATATATAGAGAGAGACTAAATTAAACCATATATATAGCTCATATCAGTCATATGATTGTATATGAGGGGTTCACAATAATGTCAAATTCATACTTCATCTTCTGCTACTAGCAAATTAAAATAAAATTTAGAAATTTATTTTGAATAGATCGATTAACTAGTGGAGTTGTCTAAAAGTTTCCAATCATTATTGTGTGGACCATGATCTACACAAGTTATGTGAACCATATTTTGTTTACTGTACAATAATGTACATTCAATACAAAAATAATGTATATTTAATACAAAAATAATGTACATTATATTCAGGGGATGTACATTATTTTTGTTCTGAGTGTACATTATATTGCATAATGTACATTCAGTACAAAAACAATGTATATTTAGTATATTAAAAATGTATTTATTATTATGGTCCACACAATAATTTGACAAAAGGTTTCATATCCGGCCATTATGGGTGTCGGCCGCAAATTATGCCGTGCAACCGAATGCACCTAGCAAGGTGCATACGGTTGCAAAACGGCGCCGTTTTACTAAAAAAACGACACGGCGCGCACAAAATCAAAAAAAAAAAAAAAATTGGATGGCCGTTAGCGGCGTTATTCATATCATATTTGGTAGTTTTGCGATTTTTTGGTAGTTTGGCGTTTTGATTGTAGTATACGTAAAATCGCAATCGCAATAGCGATCGCAGTCGTTTTCCTGATTTATTGTATGGATCTCATGATGGATGATGCAGTAGACCAGAGAGACGAGGCATTAGATCAGAGAGATGAAGCAGGCGATGAATTGCATACGGTTCCAGGTTATTTTGCAGTTTGATTTTTATGGATTTGTGGTCGTTTGCGATTTTTGCAGTGTGATATATTGTGTAGGTGTTTATATTTAGTGTGATGTTTATTGTGTATGTGATGTTTATGTGATTCTAGTCTGAGATCATTCGTAACTCTTGGTGTTTATGTGTTTATGGTTTTCTGAATGAACGAAATATATATCCATAATCTTTGAACTATAAAACCAGAAGTTGTGAGCTATATATCCAGAATTATAGTAGTATATATCAAGGATTTTGTGAATGGATACTCTGTTCTGGATTGTATATCCATAATTATTGAACTTTTATGTCCAGAAACTGTGAGCTTTATATCCAGAATTCTATCACTATACATCCAGAATTATAATACTATACATCCACAAATTTCTAAACTGATACTCTGTTCTGGCTTTTAACACTATGCAGTTAGTGAAGATGTTGTTGTTGATTCACCAAGTTCAGATCCAATAGAGTTAGACATTGATGGTTCTTCTTCTAATCCAGGTCTATATGTAGTTTTATATGATCATAATTCACAGTGTTCAGCATTGTTATATGTTCATTCTTTTTCCATGGAAAATGTTATTCTTTTTGTAGAGCATGGCTGGATTTATTCGGCATTCCCCGCACCCCCTCTACATAGGAATTATATTTTCAATGGAACGTGTATTATTTAGTATACTTGAGGTTATATATTGCATTTGCAGTTGATGAAGATTTGGTTGGTGTTGTTGTAAGTAACGGGGTTGAAGCGTATGAGTTGTATAACAATTATGCATATAGAGTTGGTTTTAGTGTGAGGAAGGGTAATCAACGGTGCAAGGTATATAGCAAAACAGTCCAAATGAAGATGTTTATGTGTTCTAAAGCTGGTTTTAAGGTTAAGGCAAATGCTGGTGTTAGGGCATATTCAAAAATTGACACAAGGTCAGGGTGTGGTGCATGTGTTCAGTTTGACGTCGGTGAGGATGGGTTGTGGACGGTTACAAAACATGTAAAAGTGCACAATCACGAGTTATGTGCTGTAGACAAGAGTCATCTTCTGCGTTCACATAGAAATGTGGGTGATAATCAACTGTTATATTTAAAAGATTTGAAGAAGAGTGGTGTTGCAATGGCAGATGGTATTAGGTTCTTGAAACATCAAGCAGGGGGGTCTCCATTAGTTGGCTTCACTAATCGAGATGCTTATAATTCAATTGCTTCTGATACATCAAAGCGTTTGGATGGAACCGATTCGAACTCATTAATTGAAATATTTAGGAAGAGGCAGTCAACTGAGTCTGATTTTTTCTTTGATTTTGAAGTTGATTGTGATTCAAGACTATGCAGTTTTTTTTGGAGGGATGGTCGGATGAGACAAGACTATGAGTTGTTTGGGGATTTATTAGTGCACGATACAACTTATCGCACTAATAAATATGATATGATTTGTGGCCCTTTTGTAGGGATGAACCACCATTGCATGAATGTAATGTTTGGATGTGGTTTTCTGATGAATGAGAGGATAGAATCATTTGTGTGGCTGTTTAGAGCATTTTTAAGGTCTATGAATGGGAAATGTCCACAGACTATCATGACAGATCAATGTGCATCCATGGCTGCTGCTATTTGTCAGGTGTTTCCAACATCACGTCACCGTCTTTGCATATGGCATATTGGCGAGAATTCGAAGAAGCATATCAAGGCGTTAAGGAATAACAAGGATTTCTTAGATATGTTTAACTGTGTGTTGAAATACACAGAGACTGAAGCTGAGTTTGAATTTTATTGGACAAGGTATGTCCACTACTTTTTTTTTTTCCTTTTTCGATTCCAGTAATTGAATTATGGATGTTTAGTATTAGAATTATGGTCATATAGTATTAGAATTATGAATATATAGTATTAGAATTATGTGAACATGTTGTAGTATAGAATGGAACTTCTTGATTGTTCCTGAGTTACATGCATTTAATTTATGGATTTATAGTTTTGGAATTGTGAATATACAGTGTTAGAATTATGGACATATAGTATTAGTTGTATGAACATGTATTAGTGAAGCAGTGAGCTTCCTGTTTGTCTCTAAATTATATGCATGCAATTTATGGATTTATAGTATTGGAATTGTGGATATATAATATTACAATTATGGATATATAGTATTAGTTGTCTGAACATGTAGTAGTGAAGCAGTGAGCTTTCTGTTTGTATTATATGCATTCAATTTGTGGTTTTATTATATTGGAACTGTGGATATATAGCATTAGAGTTCTGAACATATGTCTTATCATTTCAGGTTGGTGACTGACTACAAGTGCCACAAGAATAGTTGGATACAAAAGCTGTATGACTGTAGGGAGAAGTGGTGTCCAGCATTCAATAAGGACTATTTTTCAGGGGGCATTTTATCATCGCAAAGGAGTGAAACTACTAACCATTCGATTTCAAGAAGGCTGTCCAAGACTGCAGGTCTATGTGATTTTTATTCATCGTTTGTTAGTGTAACTTCTGAATGGAGGAGCAAAGAGAATGGTGAAGACTTTCGTTGTACTCAAGGGGTACCCAACATGATGATGGAGCACGTGAAACTTCTGTTACACGCTAGAGAGGTATATACGATTGAGATATATTTTTTGTTTGAGGAACAATTCATGAAAGGCAATGCCTGTCATCAAGAAATGGTGTTGAATGAAGGTTGTCAGTTCAAGTATCACGTATGGCGTCCAGATATAGATATTATAAGGCATGAAGTCAGTTTTAAGTTGTCAACCTTAGACATTTCGTGTAGTTGCAAGTTGATTTCGGAGTTAGGAATTTTATGCTGCCATTGTTTACGCATTCTTCATATACACTGTGTTTCAAGTATTCCTAACAAATATATCATGAAAAGGTGGACTAAAAAGGTTGCTGATGGTAGGGATGTGAATACTGGTTCAATGTTTTGTAGAGCTGGTGTCCCTCCTTCAATTTGGGTTGTGGAGATTTGCAGAAAGTTTCAAAGACTGATTTCATCTAGTCAAGATAACAGTGTAACTAGGCAGTTCTGTGATGAAGCAGTTGAGGAAGCAAAGAAAAAGTTTGAAGCTGAGATTGGCTATGTGCATATTGAAGAGTGCGGTGTTTCATCTTCAAGTGGTGTCATTCAAAATCCTTCAAACCGGAGATCAAAAGGTGAGCGTAACGTAAGGAGGAGTAGTGTTATTGAAAAGAAGTACAGTGCTGCAAGGGGGAGGAGGAGTGCTGCAAATAAAGTTGCTTCGAGTACAAAGGGTGCTGTTCAGTCGTTGGTTTTGGAAAGTCTATCTGAGATTGCCGGGGATGGGTACCTTGTACATCCAAGTTCTGGGAGTTCGGAGTTTTGTCAGTATAGTAATGATGTAGATGATAATGCAGTTGTAGATTGAGAGTGGGGTTAATACCAGTTGGTAGCTAGCTGTTTTGAGGATATCAATTTACAAGTTGTTTGATCTGTGTATTCAAAATTTTAGTACTTGTTGATTTGCAGGTTTGAAGCTATATATCCATAATATTAAAGCTACATATCCATAATACTAAAGCTATATATCCATAATATTAGAGCTATACATACATATTCTGAGAACTATATGACCACAAAATATTGGAATTGTGTGTCAAATTAGTAAAAGTGTTCATAATGTTATATCATTATATCCACAATATTAAAACTATATATCAATATGTAAACTGGTGAACTTGATGTTTACACTTATGTAAAATGTAAGTTCACAGTTGAACGAATATTCATAACTTTATATCAATATGTCCACAATCTTAAACCTATATGTCCATAATTCTGAGAACTATATGACCACAAAATATTGGAATTGTGTGTCAAATTAGTAAAAGTGTTCATAATGTTATATCATTATATCCACAATATTAAAGCTATATATCAATATGTAAACTGGTGAACTTGATGTTTACACTTATGTAAAATGTAAGTTCACAGTTGAACGAATATTCATAACTTTATATCAATATGTCCACAATCTTAAACCTATATGTCCATAATTCTTGAAATATGAATATATGAATATTTGAACAGTATGTTTATACTTATGTAAGATGTTCATAATTTTATATCCATACATCCACAATCTTAAACCTACATGTCCATAATATGAGAACTATATATTCAGTGAATTTCATAGATCGAATTTCAAAAATTGTGATAGAGTTGTTACAAAACGACCAAAGAACAGAAAATATTAAAATATTCATCCACAAAAACATTCATTGATCTTTCCAGTTTTACTTCTTCTTGTCTTCAATCTTTGCAGCTTTCATGACCTCGCCTTTGACGCTGTTCAGCTTTGACGTGATGATACAAGCAGCATACTTTGCCCTCAACTCAAAAATGAAGCTAGCCTGTAAAATAAGAAAAATAAATAACTAGTTCATTGTAATTTTTTCATCACTTTCTGATGTAGTTGGAATGTAATATATTTATGTTACTCTTACATTCGTGCGCATATGTTTCTTGAACCCAGGATTCCAGTTCTCGAAAGCTCCACCCATGTAAGTCTCCATATGCCGCATTACATATATGCCACAGTCGGTGACATTCTCTGCATTTTTCCAGTGCATGGCAAGGAACTCTACTGGCATGCTGTTCAGTTTGTGAGTCAAGGTGGATTGTCCTGCTGCCAGGTACGCCTTGAATGCTTCAATCTGGTAAAAAATTAGTTCAATGTTCATAATGTTTTAAATTCAATATATAGGTGACAATAAGGAGATTTTTTAATATAATATAAGCTACCAGTTTGTATGGACAGTCCCCATATTTATCAAGCTCTGAAACACCAGCAGGCAATTCCTTGTTGTCTATCACCTGAACCTTGGATTCCTTGACATTTATGCACACAACAAAGTAGTGTGCATGGCGATGCACTGGGAAAAATATCTAATTCCAAAACAAAAGGTTATTATTTGAAACAACTACATACCCAGGTACTGTTAACTGCATGGGTATACATTCATATTTGACAGAGTACTATATATACATAATTATAAAACTATATATCCACAATCTTAAAACTATATATCCACAAAATTCAGAAATTTATAAAGATCCTAATAAGCCGAGTATATTCCAAGCTTCAAGCATATAAATCCACAAATTAATAACTATACATCCAAAAACTACATTACCATATATCCAGAATTCTTAACAGTCTGTCCACAGAGTAATACATTCATATATTATCAGAGTACTACATATCCATAATCACATAACTATATATCCACAATTTTAAGACTATATATCCACAAATTCAGAATTTTATAAAGGATCTTATTAAACTTTGTATATTCCAAGCTTCATGCATATATATCAATAATAAAATCTTAAATTATTAAATTAAGTGTGTGTAATAGATCTTACAAGGTCTGCATCACTGATTTCCAGGTTTCCAAAACTTGATATTTCATAATTCAATCTATCATTGAAATTTTCCATCCTTTTCTCAGCTGGGAGACTTTTCATCCAATCATCAGATGGATCAAGCTGGAGCTGTTTTTGAATACACAGAAAAGCAAAAAATGAGTATTCAAAAGGCTTAGAGTACTAGATTTTTAAAAATGCGCATCTGCATGTCAAAAATAACTCTTACATGTGGCAGTGTGGTGAAGAATACGCGTTTTGGTATCCCAACAACACGTTCTGTGTTCTTCAAAGTTAGCCGCAAAGACCAAATATTCAAGAAGTCTATATCCAACTCGCCATTGCTCAAAGTTGAGAAGTGACGCCTTGTTAGGTAGTAGTCACCATAGCTGAACAGCAACTCACTACAGCACCAAAATAACAATAATAATAATAACACCAATAGTTATAATAATATGAACTATCTAAGTAATTTAAAGGTTATTATAAATATATGTGTTCAAACATACTCTTCTGGGTGTTCGGTAGACACACTCAAGAATGCATAGTTTGAAATGATTTTTTCCCGTGGAGTTGCAGTTCGTATAAAACCTGCATTCTGTGTCCAGTATGGTGACCTCAAACAAAGAGGCTTGTTCCTGAATCGTCGCTGGGGTCTCATCCTAACAGTCACGTCCTCAACATCAGACTCACTTTCTTGCATGGCACTGTTGTTTATATATCCACAGTATTAGAACTTTATATCCATAATATTAAACATATATGTACATAATCATAGAACTATATATTCACAGATTTAAAATGTTCATAATTTTATATCTATATATCCACAATTTTAAAGCTATATGTCCACAGTTGTAAAAATGTTCATAAGTTTATATTCATAATTTTAGCACTATAAATTCATAACGTTAAAGCCAAATGCAAATAACAAACTGTAAATTTACCAATCAAAGTCATCAACATCAGCATCAGTAGCAGCGGCATGACGAACATATCTCTGAAATGGGACCCTAACAAGTGGAGGAGTTACTTGTGCTCCCAAGGTCGTTGACAGTCCTGCATCCTCTCCAATTTGTTGAACCAAAGCATCCAATGGTAGGTCCTCTTCAACTACTTGCTCTGTGTGTTGCTCACATGGCTGCGGTTGCGATTCATTGCAGTGTATTCCCAAATCAAATGATGGAGCTTCAAATTCCATGGTTTTTGTTGTCTTCTGAAATGCTTCCACCAATGAATCCACTGCAGCGGTGAAGGTTTCACTCCCAAAGAATATGTCATCCAACTGAGATTCAGTTGGAATGGAAGTTGATTCAATTGCGCTTGCAGCACCTAGCATGTTTGATATCCCTGAGAACGCTTTCTTCATGACTTCAATAGGTGCGCCCTGCTTTCCAATTTCAGACATAGCTTCACCAAACTCCAGGACATCTGATGCTAGCTTTTGGAGCACACGGGTCACCCGATCAACACTTGAGAGTGGCTCAATTGTAGTTGGTGTCGGTGTTGCAGTAGCAGGAGTAGAAGAAGTAGTAGCAGCAGCAGTAAATGCAGGTTGTGGTAGTGAGGTTGTAGCAGCAGCAGTGCTTGCAGGTTGTTGCAGTGAGGTGGTAGCATCAGTCCTTGGCTTCTTAACTCTAGGGATAACCCTTCCTTTTCCAAACCCACCAGCCCTTTTTTCAGCCTTGACTCTCTTTCTTACAAGCGTGGTTGTCCAAGCAAGTATGCTAGGGTATGTTCTGTTGATCTTCATTCCTTTGAATTCTACTCGATCAAAGTAGAACAGCTACAAATTACAGAAGATTATGTTAAAGATGAATTTAGAACAATTTATCCATGTATTCTTAATTGCATGGTCACAGTGTAATGCATAACTATATGTCCATAATCACATAACTATATATCCATAACTTTAAAACTATATATCCACAAAATTCAGAAATAAAAAATGATATTAATAAAATGAGTATATTCCAAGTTTCATGCATATATGTCCATAAACCCATAAATATACATCTAAAAACACATTAATATATATCCAGAATTATTACCAGTATGTCCACAGAGTAATACATACATATATTCACAGAGTACTACACATCCATAATCACATAACTATATATCCACAATTTTAAAATTATATATCCACAAATTAAACTGCATAAAGGACCTCATTAAACTGAGTGTATTCCAAGTGTCATGCATATATATCCATAAACCCATAACTATACATCCAAAAACACATTAGTATATATCCAGAATTATTAACAGTATGTCCACAGAGTAATACATTCATATATTCACAGAGTACTATATATCCATAATCACATAACTATATATCCACAATTTTAAAACTATATATCCACAAATTAAACTGCATAAAGGACCTCATTAAACTGAGTGTATTCCAAGTGTCATGCATATATATCCATAAACCCATAACTATACATCCAAAAACACATTAGTATATATCCAGAATTATTAACAGTATGTCCACAGAGTAATACATTCATATATTCACAGAGTACTATATATCCATAATCACATAACTATATATCCACAATTTTAAAACTATATATCCACAAATTAAACTACATAAAGGATCTTATTAAACTGAGTATATTCCAAGTTTCATGCATATATATCCATAATAAATTGTTAGTTATACACCTACAACTACATAAAATTCATGCAACTAGATTAAAGACAATAAGAACTGACCAATATCAATGTCATTGGCCCCCAAAAGCTTCTCTTTCTATCTTCATTGTAACTATCTATCGAGTCAATGAGAGATTGGTATGTGTAGGCGCACCAATTGTACTCTTTAATCATATCAACATCAATCAATGAGTTTAAGATCCTGTACTTGGAGTAGCGTGTTGTGTTTCCTCGAAGCATGGAGGAAACGGCAAAGACTACGAAATCCCTCTTGAACTCATCACCATGATCAGCTCTCCTAACAATCTCATCTGGCATCTGTGTAGTTATTGGCGAGCCTGCTGTAATACCCCACCTCCTTCTCCATGAAGTCAGCAGCAGTTTGTATTCACGGGTTGAGGTGTCTTCCATCTTTGTCCCCTCATTGACCTTCAGAGGCCCTCGCGGGATTCCCAACGTGTATTCGACATCTTCCTCTTCAATGTGGAGACTATCATCCTCTAATACAAAATCACACCTGCAAACATTAAAGTTGTCCAGCAGGTATTGCACCAACTTTGATTCATTGGTGCAGAGTTGGAGATGAAGAAGTCCACCAAATCCAGTTTCTACGACAGCTTGTTTCTGTCGTGGTGAGAGCCTCTGGACAAGATCAAACATCAGCTTTGGCCCCATCCTCGTATTGAAGTAATCTCTCCTGTGTTCTCTAGTTCGTCGGCGCCGTCTCGTTGAAGTCTCTACAACAGTTGTTTCCTTAGCAGGGCGTGAGCGCTGAGCTGCTTGTGAATTTAGGGCTGCTGCTGGTTGTTCACTAGTTGGATTAGAGCTCTGAGCTGCTTGTGAATCTAGAATTGCTGCTGTCCGGTACTCTCTTCTTCTTCTTTTTGTTTCTCTAAGATCCTCAGCCAGTGTAGGTTCACGAGCCATTTCTGTAAATAAGAATTATTAAACTATACATCCATAATATCACAACTATTTGTCCACAAACATTTCAGAAACACACTAATTGAAGACAGGAATGATATTTTCATACATGCATAAGTATTAAACTATAAAACCACAATTATAAAGATATATATCCACAATATCACAACTATTTGTCCACAAACATTTCAGAAAACACACTAATTGAAGACAGGAATGATATTTTCATACATGCATAAGTATTAAACTATAAAACCACAATTATAAAGCTATATATCCACAATATCACAACTATTTGTCCACAAACATTTCAGAAAACACACTAATTGAAGACAGGAATGATATTTTCATACATGCATAAGTATTAAACTATAAAACCACAATTATAAAGTTATATATCCACAATATCACAATTATTTGTCCACAAACATTTCAGAAACACACTAATTGAAGACAGGAATGATATTTTCGAACATGCATAAGTATTAAACTATAAAACCACAAGTATAAAGCTATATATCCACAATATCACAACTATTTGTCCACAAACATTTCAGAAACACAATAATTGAAGAGAGGAATGATATTTTCAGACATGCATAAGTATTAAACTATAAAACCACAAGTATAAAGCTATATATCCACAATATCACAACTATTTGTCCAAAAACATTTCAGAAAACACCAAAAAACAATCAAAGAAACAGAAAAAAAACAGAGTATTGATCTGTTTGAGAAAAATGCAAAATCGTGTTGCAAAACCCTAGTAAAAAATAACAAGAATATACAGCGAATATGAATGTTAACAGTCAAAAAACACAACGTTAACAGTAAAAAATCACAAAAATACATTATACCTGATGGAGAATGCGATGATAACGGGCGACAATGCTAGAATGAAAATGGCGAAAATGGCGACAATGGTGAACAAAACACGCTCCGGCGACAATGAGATGAAGACGGCGAAAATCGCGACTCCGAGTAGACAGAGAGAGAGATGAAGACTGCTACAGTGCGAAGGAAGTGTGTAGCTTGTTGGAGACGAAATGTTGGAAATGGCGGAAAAAGGAGTGTAGTGGCGTTTTATGACAATAATAATAATATTTTTTTTTTAAATATCGGGATGAGTGAAACGGTGCCACTAACGGCACCGTTACTTCCCTGGCACTTTACGGTGCCGTTTTCAACCGTGTGTACCAAGAACGGTACACACGGTTGCACGGCATAACAATTGGGTGTCGGCAGGCATAAAGTTGGATCCCCACCATCTCGACGTACGACAAATGAAAACCCCCAAGTAAGGTCGTCTGGTTTGCCTGAAAGAGGACAAAAAATGGTGAGTTGTGGAATCAGGCCGGTATCGATAGATACTGTCCATCCAATCCGACCTTATCCTGGGAAACCTATACTCACTATAATTAATCCCGATAATGCTGCATTTCTCTGCCAAATTCGATAGGGAAAATAAAAAGTAGAAGTGAAGTGAATATATATGGCACGTAGTTTCTGCAACATTGGGGTCCTACCACTCTTGATCACTCATCTTTTCATCACCACACAACTCAGCGCAACCGCCGCCGGCGCAGAATGCAGAGGCGGCGGCGGCACGGTGGGTGATTGCATGGAAACCGGTGGGGAGGAGTTTCTCATGGATTCCGAGACTACCAAAAGGGTTCTTGATGGAGAAAAGGGGCGGCTAGGTTACGGTCCGTTGCAGAAACCTGCTTTATGTAATGCCGACAGATCCGGGAGTTGCTTAGCGGACAAAGTAGGCGTCAAGATGCACTGCAACTATTACAATAAATCGTGTGTGAAGTAGCTCTCTTGTATAATTGATGAATGTTGAAGTAGCTATATAATATAATATATATAATCCTGTTTTAATTTCTTTGTATGTACTCCTAATCTGCTAGCTGCCACATTCAAGCTGTGTATTATGTGTTTTAATTTTGTTGTGATTATATTAAAAGCTTCCAAGCTGCAATGTATTACGCATTGTCTTAAAGGAATTTTAAAAATGTAATAATACTTTATAATGAAAAATGTAATTGATAGATATATTCTTCCAAAGGCTGAACCCCAACCCTAAGGGCCCCCACACTCCGGCCCGACAGAGCAACCATAGAGGCTAGATCGGTGCTCACTGCGCACAAGAAAAATCATGATGACTCAACTGAACATGAACCATAGAGGCTAGACCGGTGCTCACTGCGCACAAGGAGCCCCCCTCACTTTGAGAGATTGCTCCCACACTGCCGCTGATGAGACTCGATCCCTGGTCATTCTTCCAAAGTTTCACATCTATGACCAGTTGAGCTACCCATGCGGGCCAATTGATAGATATATTACAAATAGACTCGGAACAAATCAACTCAGTGGAGCGGATCCTATCAAATTTGGGCCCGAGGCTGAGTCCTGAGTTTGGTACCTCAGAGGTCCCACGCCGAGCTCCGAGCTTGGTGCCTTGAGAAGGTCCGAGGCCGACCTCCGTGGATTCATGGACGGTTGTAGCGCGCATAGTGGAGGCTAGGCGTTAGATCCGGTTAAGGAGGTCCACTTAATTCCTTGTAACAATCTTGCACGAGTCTTAATAAAATCTTGTTTCCGTGACCAACATACTTGTTCTACATTCATTGTCTATGCTTTATTTCTTATTATTTTATATTTATTAGGTTATTTGAGTTGGACCACCCGATCAATATAATCCATCATATCAGTAATATATTTTTGATGAAGTCCATATGATAAAAGATATCTTATCAATACTTGTTATAACAAAGAGTTAGTTTGATTTATACCATAAAAAATAAGTCTATATATATAGTAAAATTTTTATGTTGTGACGCACAAATAAAGTGTTCTGTCAATTCCGCTTCAACTAAATCACATGTATGTATTTCAAAAAAAAAAAATCACATGTATGTATGTGCTCGTGGTTGTCATGTTGAGTATATAATATATAAATATAAATGTGCAATCCAACTATCTGGTTAAACTTTTAGTTGAGATGGAACACATGCTTTAATTTGATATTAGAATCATGCCAAAAGTCATTAGACTATGGTCCACGTATTGCTTGAAGTCCATCAAAAGTAATCAACTCGACCCGCATATGTGTTGAGCATATAATATATAAACTAAGTTTTTAGTTGAGATAGAGCACATGCTTTAATTATTTTAACTTCATCAATAATGCTAAGAAGTAACATTGCTGTCCTAGCTAGCTTCAAGTGTCCCGTTGAGGTTATGGAGATGTTGGCATGCATTGTTGCTTTATATCAATTTGGCTAGGTCTATATGGATTTTTCTTGTGCGTGATGTAATGATTGATAATTATTTAAATTTTATTTTTATTTTCATGTAATTCATCAATTTAAATATACATGAAAGTTAATGTAAAAATTAAAATAAATGTTTGTATATTATTGTCCACAACATTTATATTGATTTGTTTTAAATATTATTATTATTGATTTCTTTATTAACCCATTAATTAACTATAGTTTATCAAGTTAATTGTATATTAATAAATGAAAGAAGTAAACATTTTCCACAAAGAAAAAAAAAAGGTAAAAGAATAGGGGCAACCGGGCAACATCAAATTGGATTTGTAACTCTTTTGGTAACTAATTATATTATGAGTTTGGTCCTAAACTTAAGGGTCACAATATGAGATAAATTGTTAGATGTGTCTCAATTTATTTACTAGTGCCCACAATAAGAACAAATTCATATCTTGCTTTGCAGGGACTAGTAAAGTAAATTTTATAAAGAAAAAATTACACTTTTGGTCTTATAACTATATAGGGCGTGTTAATTTTGATCCGTGACTTTTAAAACTAACAATTTAATCCTTTAACTATACTTTTTTTAGCAGATTTGGTCCTTCCGACCAAATCACCGGTGGAAATTGACCGAAAAAACTTAAACTTTTTAAATTTTTTATTTGTGAGGGCAAAATAGTCATTTCAACCTCATTTCTTCTTCTTCCTTGCTGCGCCTGCAATGTTAATGAATGCCCGAATGAAAGACTGCAAAGTTAAAGAATTTAAAAAGGTTTAAATTCCTCCCAGTTGCTCACATGAAGTCTAATTTTTCTGCTCTTTTGATGAAAAAGAATTTAGTGGAAATAATAAAATTGTACAAAAGCTTTGATATTTTTTCTCGGTTGTGCTCCCCCCCACCCAGTGCCCCCACCCCAGGGTTTGATTAGGATTCTTGGCTGACGTTGGGGATTAGTATTAACTTATTGGATTTGGGGATTTTTTTTGCGGCTTTATTTTGGGGTTTGCTATGATGGGTTTCTAGAAAAAGCTGGAATTGGCGCCGGCGGCCTCAATCCGGCGATCTGACCCACCTCCATGTTCACGTTCTTTAACTTTGCATTCATTCATTCTGGCATGTTTCTATAAGGAGTGAGAAAAGAAAGAATGGCATTCATTCTTTTAACTTTGCACTCATTCATTCTTTAACTTTGCATTCTTTCATTCTGGCATTCATTAACATTGCAGGCGCAGCAAGGAAGAAGAAGAATGAGGATGAAATAACCATTTTGTCCTTCTGAATAAAAAATTTAAAAAGGTTTAAGTTTTTTCGGTCAATTTTTACCGGTGATTTGGTCGGGAGGACCAAATCTGTTAAAAAAAACATAGTTAAAGGATTAAATTGTTAGTTTTAAAAGTTACGGATCAAAATTAGCATGCCCCCTATAGTCATAGGACCAAAAGTGTAATTTACTCTTTTATAAATTTATTTTGAATTGATTGACTCGTTGAGTTGTATGCTGGAACAACTAATTATATTATGAATAATATTGTAAGTACTTATAATTTATACTACTCCATTTTTATTTTACACTTACTTGACAAGTTTTTTTTTTTTTTTTGGAAAAAAAATAAAAAACGAAGACAGTATATTAATTTAAGTCCAACTCCATAACATGAACAATGGAAGAGAAAGGGACTAAGAAATAGTCCATACAGTCAGACTTGGACAAGTAAACTAATAAGTGGGTCTCCCAAGCTAACAAAGTAGGCTATCCTGTTTGCAGATCGTTTAACAAATAAAAAACAAAAATTTGAAAAAGCTCTAGCTACTTTTTTTAACATCATTAATAATGAGATCAACAAACAACATCAAGGACTTACTATACTTGGAATGCCATTCACAACATCCATATTAAGATCGATCCTTCAGTGATTTTAATGCTTCCCAAACACTAATTGCTTCAGCTTCTCCTGGCAAGATTCCATTCCACGGAACTTCTTTGTATGTACTCCTAATCTGCTAGCTGCTACCAAAAGCTTCAATGACATGTTTTGATTATCCAAAAAAAAAAAAAAAGATTTCCTTTTTATCAATAAAATCACGTGTGCCAACAATTCATATACGGAGTATTTTCTTAAAATTATACACTACAAGTCAACAATTGACTTGTGCAAACTACATGGAATTTTAGGCCCACTACGTGGGCCTAAAGGGTAATTGGTTTCGACCCTACTCCCACTCCCACGGCATCACGCAAATTATGCTGTGGACTCGTGTATTGTGATACGAGTCCAAAACGATATCGTTTTCAGGGAAAACGTGATCTTCAAATTAAAAAAAAAAAAAATTGTCTCGACGTTAACGGCGTTATTCGTTTTTTGCATTATGAATGTACAGTTATGAAATTATGAATGTACAGTTACAGAGCTCTGATATTATGAACTTACAATTATGAACATAGAGCTCTAAATTTGTGAACATAGAACTTCGAAAATTATGAATTTATAGTTATTGAATTATGAATGTACATTTATTCCTACCAAAAAAAAAAAATTGAATGTACAGTTACAGAATTATGAATGTACAGTTATGCAATTATGAATGTACAATTATGGAATTATGAACACAGAGCTCTGACATTATGAATTTACAATTATGAACATATAGTAATAAAATTATGAACATATGCTCCTATAACAAAGTAGTCTGATATTTTTAAAAAAAATGATGGAAGATAACGGTGCCACTAACGGCACCGTTACCGTATCCACAATGCATGTTGTACACGGGTCCATAGCATAACGATTGCACGGCATTATATGTTGTTTGTCTACTCTTATAATATTTTTTTAATAATAACAAAATCCATATTCACTATTTAAGTGCGGCGTACATTACACGGGATAGACTTGGGGTTTATTGAGTACATGCAATGAACGCCATTCATTTCTTATCCATGTTTGGCCACTCAACTGGCTCCTTTTGAATCCTATACATAACACGTACTCTACACATTATATATAAATAGACTACGTGACCATATACGTTGCCCTGCCCATTATTCAATCCTACAGACGACATGAAAGGTGGCGAGTCACATTACTGTAGGCGCCTCTTTGTGTTTGTAGTCTTTACATTCTTTGTAATGTTAATAAGCACAAATGTGGGCGCGGGTGAATTCCTGCAGAGCGCCACAAACCTCACCGCCGCCGGCGGCACAGTCGCGGACTTCGTGGAAGCTGGCGGCGGCGAAGAGTTCCTCATGGATTCAGAAACCAGCAGTAGGTTTCTTGGCCAAATGCAAAAAACAGGGGGCCGCCATATTTCCACCGACGTTCTACGTCAACCTTATGTTCCATGTGGCAAAAGTAAGACAAAAATTAGAAACGTTAATTGCCTAGGGATCAAACAACACACCAAGCGACCCTGCAACTTTCTCAATCGGAGCTGTAATAAATGATGATAGGATATGTACTGTGCTTGCTAGCTAGCTAGTATATATATATATCATCATGAACTATATATATATATATATATATATATATATATATATATATATATATATATATATATATATGTATGTATCATTATATTGTTTCTCCCTCCACGGTAGCTGTGGTGTACCGTACCAGTACAGTGATCGATACCGTACGTCATTCGGTCATTCCCATGTCATCATCTTATCAATAATGCTTTGGAGTATTATTTTTTGTAATTCACATCAAATGCAGGCTCCCTCCAATAATACAGTACACCATTAATTAGTAGCGGCTCACGAATAGCTGTTTTTTGAAAATATAAAACAATAGTTTCAAAAGTAATTCATACAGGACCCAGTTCAACCAACATACATATTTAAAAAGTTCTATTATATGTACTCTCAAATTCTACTCCAAGCAATGATGGGATATTTTCATTAGGTGAGTCTCAAAAAAAGTGTCCACATCAAAGATTTGTGAGAGAAAGAAGCTAAAAGTTGGGAATAAAAAGTGATATTATTCTTAAACAATTTTTTCTAAACCCACAAAATGAAAATATCTTATTCATACTTGTCATGTCATATCAAATTAAAGTATCTTTACCACTCTTTTGGTTTCATAATTGAATCCTAAAGTATTATATTACGTCCACCCACTGATCCCCAATCGTGTCCGGTCCAACCTTATCCTGGGAAAGCTATACTCACTATAAATTTCTCTGCCAAATTCAATCAGTCATCAATACAAACAAGAAATTAAAGTAGAAGTGAAGTGAATATGGCACGTTTCTGCAACAATAATATTGGGGCGACCGCTGCCCTCCTCCTGTCACTCTTCATCTTGGCCGAATCTCTGTCTACTGCGGCACCTACCCACAGCACCAACTCCGGCCGGAAGTGCGGTGGCGCCGCCGAATGCACTGTTAGCGCCGCCGGAGGTGACGGTGGAGAAGAGTTTCTGATGGATTCCCAGACTGCTACCTGGCTTCTTAGTTCACTCCAAGACAACACTCAAAAGATTTCCTACAAAGGCCTGCAGAGACCACCGGTGTGCGATGCGAAGAGATCTGGCAGCTGCCTGGCCGACAAGGTCAACGGTGGTAATAATAAGTGTGACTTTCACAACCGGTCTTGTGTTCGTTGATATATAGAATGTGTACTGTACGAGGAATAAAATAATGGAATATGATTTCTGATGTGTAATGACGTCTGTATCATCAACTATAATATAATTACATTAACCATTTTTTTTTTTTTTTAAAGTTACTGGCTCTATTACATTGTAGTATGTGTTCATATACTTTCTCAACCTACTGAAACACAAAGAACCAATAACGTAACGCCTCCACTGAGGCTTGAACTCATAATCTTCCAATTGAAAATCCAACCCGGATACCATTAGACCACATAGTCCTGGTCACATTAACCAATTATTCATGAAATTATTAATAAATTATAGGAGGAAAGATTGGATGGGACCAACATCATATTCAATTTGAAATTCTTTTGGTGACTAATTTTGGTATTTGCTTTGGAATTCACTTTTCTACCCATTATAATGATTAATAAGAAAGCATGTAACTACTACTTGAAGTGTACCTTGAGATCTTGTGACTTTAGTTGGTAAAGGATCATATGAAGGTAAAGTCTTAGATTTTTTATAGGCCTAGGAATGTCAATCAGGTCAGCATATTCAATTTTGGGCTAACTCTATCAGGTATCAGGTTTATTGGGCAAATTCAACTAAAACTTTTGACATTTTCAAATTAGTATTCTAAGCTTTCAATTTTGGTAAACTAACATATTTACACTAATAAATATAAACTTATACATCATTTAATCAAGGGTGAATCAACGATTTGATCCCTCACTTATTCGCAACTTGTCAATGTTGCCCCTGAATCACGTATTCATCAATTTAGTCCCCGAAAATAATTGTTTTTCGTCAAATAAGTCCCTCAGGCCGTTTTCCGTCATGTCTCAGGCGAGACCTCCGATTTGCCCTGGGCATTTTGGTCTTTTCACGCCTTCTTCTTCATTAACTCTGACCAAACTTCGCCGGAGAAGTTCAAGCTCGCCGAAGGGAGCTTCTTCTCTTCCGCCGACGTCAGCTTCACCTCCGATTTCAGAGCTTTCCAGAATCGCAAGCAAATCAAAGCAACACTACAACATTTTTACGCCCCGGTCTACTCCAGGGGAAGACAATCAAACAGAGAAAAAGCAACGCAGCAATGGTGTTGATCGAAGCCGTGCCATCCTCTGACGAAACGTCAAAGCCAAAACCGCTACCAGTCAAGGCGGCTGAAGCATCGACAGACGCTGGTTCGTCCTCTGCGGCTGCGCCGGCGGCATCTGGATATGGTTCCGATGGTTACGAGACTGCTAGCGATACCGAACTTAACAAGACCGATGAGGCAGAAGGGAAGAAAGAGGAACAAAACCTTAGTCACAGTAGTGTAAAGGACGAGAAAGCAAAAGAAGATTATGGGAGCCCTGCCACATCAATACCGTCGTCTTCTTCGGGTGGAAATGAAGAGGCGCCGAAACAAAAAATGGAATCCGACATGGATCAACTTCACGAGGTTCTCTCTCTCTCTCTCTCTCAATACATATGCCTCCGATGCTAAATTTGTATATGCTTATGTTGCATTCAGTGATTTTGAAAAGAGTAAGCTAAATAAGGGAATATATATCTTCTACTCTGCTGCTGGAGAATGATGTTTATGCATTGTGATTTCCGGCATTCATTGGAGCTTTGTAATCCAACGATGCGTTGGGGGTGCGCCGGCGATCCCCCGGCAGATCGCGGCGACAGGCGGCGGCTAGCTCCGTCTCGATCTCTTCTCTCTCGGTAAAAGCTGAGCAACAACAACATCCGACGGCGAGACAAGGTCCATGGACCTACATCTCCCCTCCCTCTCTCTGGTGGAATCACGAAGAGGCGGAAGCAGCAGATCGGAGCAGCGACCTCCGCCCCTGGCAGTTGATCCCTCCCGGCGAAGCAGCAAACCGGCAATGGAGTTTTCCGACGAGCTTGAGCTTCTCCGGCGAAGTTTGGTCAGAGTTAATGAAGAAGAAGGCGTGAAAAGATCAAAATGCCCAGGGCAAATCGGAGGTCTCGCCTGAGACATGACGGAAAACGGCCTGAGGGACTTATTTGACGAAAAACAATTATTTTCGGGGACTAAATTGATGAATACGTGATTCAGGGGCAACATTGACAAGTCGCGAATAAGTGAGGGACCAAATTGTTGATTCACCCTTTAATCAATATAAACCTCTATGTCTAAGTTCTAACTAAAAATAATTAATATATTTATGATATAATGTACTCCGTAATAATTAAAATAGTTTTTTTATTATTTATTTTCATACAAAATATTTTATTTTGTAATAAACTTATTAAACTTTTATGAGAAAAGAGTCAAATAGACCCCTAAACTTTACCCCAAAGGTCAATTAGCCCTCTAAACTTTACAAAAGTGCAATTAAACCCTCAAATATGTCAAATTGGGTCAATGAAGCCTAAAAACCGGTAAATGACCTGTTATTACATGTCATTCCAATTCCGGCAACGGTTTCCAGCGACTAGCGACGAATTCTGGCGACCGGCAAAAAAATCCGACCGTCCGGTCGTCTTCCACTGGAGAAGACGACCGGACGGCCGCCTTCTCCATTGGAGAAGGCGGTTGTCCGGTCGTCTTCTCCGGAAGACAGCCGGATATTGTCGCTGGTGATCGGATTTTTTTCGTCGGCGGAATTCCTAGCCGGTCGCCAAAATTAAAATGACATGTAATAACATATCATTTATCAATTTTTGGGTTTCATTGACCCAATTTAACATGTTTAGGGATTTCATTACACTTTTGTAAAATTTAGGAGGATAATTGACCTTTAGAGTAAAGTTTAGGGGTCTATTTGACCCATTTTCTCAACTTTTATTTACAAATTTAATAAAAATTACTAAAGATAAACTTACATATAAAAAATATAAAATCTCTATATATTTTGTTTCAACATTTTTTGTGAAAGAAATAATATTTAAGTCAATAGTTATGTCATGGGCTTAGGTCGACCGTGCAAGGTGGACCCAGGTCAAAATATACAATTTATGTACTAAATTTTAACAATTTACGTACGGAATGTTTACAACAATCCGACAAGACATTTGAGATGATGTAAATCATGGTAACTCAACTGAACATGAACTACAGAGGTTAGACATTTGTTCATTGCCCACAAGGAACCTCCTCACACTTTGAAAGATTGCTACCACAATGCCGCTGGTAAAACTCGACCCCTGATCATTCTTTCAAACTTTTACCTCTTTAAGCTGTCCATGCGGGTAACATCATCCTATCCTATATCTTGTGGTTGAAATGAAGAAGACCATACACCTTAGCTAGCTCCCACCATTCCCATTCAATAATGCATATCACTTTCCTTCTAGTGTCCCCTTGACATTGATATGCAGCTAGCAACTAGCAAGAAATCCCAATGCTATAATAAGCACTATATAAAATTCAATCCTCACATTTCTCTGCCCACGAAAAGAGTAGAAGTGAAGCGAATATGGCACGTTACTGCAACATTAGTGCAGCCATCTTCATCGCTCTGTTCATCACCACCGGTGCCGAATCTGCCGCAGCTAATAACCACCACAACAGCAACTCCGGCGGCCAAAACTGCGGTGGTGCCGCCGGATGCACTGCTGCGCCCGGAGACGACGGCGGCGAAGAGTTCCTGATGATGGATTCCCAGACTTCTGCCTGGTTTCTTGATGGCGGATCTAAAACACTTGTCTACAACAGCCTGCAGCCAGGATCGCAATGCAATGCGCCGAGATCTGGCAGTTGCTTTGCGAAAGCAGTGAACCCTAACTTAAATGTGTGTAAGAACTTTCGTAACCGATCCTGTTTTAAAAAAAAATAAGTGTGAGGCCATCAGTCCATCACCACTGGCTACTAGCTACCTAAATCAGGTAGAGGGGAAAGTAAATCACAATATGTGGTTGAACTTATGTATATTTGTTCTCAAATGTTTGTATATTAGTATCTCCAATAAAGATTTTACGGTTAATAACAAAGTAAAGTTTAGAAATTTATTTTGAGTTGGTGGACTATTTCAGCTATGCCTCAAAGTCATGTTTTTATTAATAGAATGTACTGAATGAGCTACAAGAAGCTCACATTCATGAATAGGCTTTTTATATTCGTACAACTGATTAATTTATGTTTGTACAACCATATTAATTTTTTCATCACCTCCATGTTGGTTTTAGGGTTTTTTGAGCTCAAGGAGATCCAATACAACCGTAGTTGGTGGATTCAACTATCATTCCTTTCTAGAAAGCCAGCTTGTAGCTTTAATTGATAAATGGTTAGAAAAAGATAAATTAACTTAAATTATTCATAGTTAGCTCGCTTAAATTGAAAATGGCAAAGGATCTTGCTTCCATACAATATAATTCCACTTCAAACCTAATAAAATGGGCACATTAATGCCATTTCCATGTCGATAATGACATGTCATATTACTTCACTGTCCTTCAAATATCCCCCTTGGCATTGATATGTGGACACTAGTGTATGCTTTGTCATGTATGATTAAAGAAATCACAATATATTAGCCCTCGTGGGCTCGGTTTACCCCGGCCCCCTCATACAACAAAAAAAAAATCACAATATATATATACTCCCATCATATATCATATATATCTAATCTAATCATAATAATAATGGTTTTACAGCTTTAGGCAGACAGACCAACATCATTTAAACCTTCATTACTAAAGAAGGAACTCAAGAATCAGTTGCATTTACTACATAACCGCCACACCACTTTTTAGCCCTTCTAATAGCCCTAGCTAGGCCGACCAGTTGAGCTAATAGCCAAACTGACCAAGTACATCCAGTCGACACTAAGTATGACCTCTCGAGCTGGGAGTCCATGCTCAGTCTCCCAACTCATTAAATAATAATAATGAAAAATAAATAGGTGATTCATCATATTAATTGTGGTCTATTACTTAGAATAACATGGTTAAAGACCAAGGAGGTAGTTGGAGAATTAACTACCGGTACCGGATTAAAGACGGACTAAGGAGGTAGTTGGTGCAGTCAATGATCCAATTAAGGAGTGAAT